TGTGTCCTGTTGTCTGGTGAAATCTATGTCGCTTTGTGAATATCCTTGTGTTTGTACACACTGCCTCGCCTCCAATCACCAAATCATTAAATACGCAGAAGTCTGCAAACAGTTCTCCATTCTCACTCATCACTTCACTGGGTGCTTCTCGACCCATGCTATCATGATTTCTCTTCCTGTGTTGTTTCCTCCTAGTTCGGCATTCATGCATCCCACCTATTCGGATTTTGATGTCACCATCTGAGGTGGGGTCTTGTCCAGTGCTGATTGCAGTTGTCTGTGGGATTCCTCCTCCTTCTCTTGACCTGCATTATTTGTAAGTGCGTAGAGTAGCATTGTTTGATTGTGACTTTTATTCCTTTTGAGTTGGATCTTGCTGTCATGATCCTGATCCTGATCGTTGAGGAGATTGGTTCCCACTGTCTGAGAGCCCTTAATGTTCTTGGGAGGGGGACATCATGATGGTCACTCGGAGATTCAATGTGCTGGAAGTTGTCATCTGGGTGACAATATCGGAGTAGATTTTTGACTGTATAGTTGACAGTTTGAAGAGTCCACTTCCATTCCATCGGCAGATTCCTGGCACTTCCATGCTCTATCTTCTCATCTCCTTGGCAATCTGGGCAGCCTTTCCAGCCACCTTCAAACATTGTGTGGGCATTCTTACTTTTGTTTTCATTGAGAGAAGTGAAGACGCATCGGCCAATTGGCTTCCGGAAGGCTTTCACCAACTGGTATCATTTCGTCTCTCCGATCCCGGTGACGAATAAGTTTATTTTTATTTTTTATATTTTCTCTGTGGTTTGAAGTTTTTTAGCGATTGGGTTGGTTTTAAGGGGTAGGGTTGCTAGCTGTATATCCAACTTTCCCTCGTTATCCGGGCTTAGGAATGGTTAGTTTCTAGTGAACTAGTTAACTAGGCGAGGTTACTCATTATGCATAGTGGGGAATTTTACGAATCATGCAAATATGTGTATAGTAAAAAACTCTTGAACAACTCCTTACACTCTTTCATCGGTTTGCCTTTCTAACGGTTTACGGGACTATAATTTATTCATCTTAACCTTCGACAATAGGTCGACCGCTGGAGGTCTTCTAAAGAGATTCACCTTATGACACAAGGTGATATGATGCAAAATTGATCTCACTGGCACATATCCACATACTATCCTGATTTTAATCGTTATCCTGTATCCTGTATTTTCTTAGCCCTCCATCCTCCTTTTTGCTACTTTTCCCTACTTCTGACCAATTCTTCTTTGTTTCAGTATCGTTTACCTTAGTGCCTTCTCACTTGATATGCTGGAGCTTGAGAACAGCTAGTTCGAGAAAACCAAGCAGATTTCAAATCTGGATGGGGGTGTATCGACCATACTTTCACCCTTCGACAGGAACACAAGCATACCTACGGGCCAGTGGGAGACTCTTACCATATTTCTTGGCCTAACGGTGGCACTTAACTTTTTGTTTCGGTGTTGTTCGAGTGTAAAGTATCGAGCAAGTACATAATGCTTACCAAAGTCCTCCACTAGAACTCACGCAGCCATGTAGAGACTTATGGGGAGTTGTCAGAACTGACGACAACTAGCAGCGTCCATCAGGGGTGCCTGCTAATAGCGTTCCTATTTACAGAATTACTAATGGACGTATCCCTAGGTACTCCCGGCTTTATTCCAGGGATTGATTCACTCTCTAGAGGTTATTTGATGACTTGAAGTATGCAGACGATATTATCATACTGGGTGACGACGTCGACAAAATAAAGGAACTTCTGAACGCATTGAGCAGAAATCTGAGTATGTTTGGGATTGGTTTTGCACCTGTCAAGTGTAAGATAATGCTCGAAGACTGGTCTGATGCAAGTACTCCATTTTCAATGGCAGATGGTGAAGTGGTGGAATGTGTCGGTCACTTCTCTTACTTAAGGAATTGCATCAGCCCAAACAGGCTGGTTAGGGACGAAATCTCAGCTGGGATACAGAAGGCTCATTTGGCATTTCCCAACTTGCGTTATCTATGGCACCGACTGGCGGGATATCCCACTAACTATCAAATGACGAGTATACTGGACTGTAGTTCATTCTTTCCTGTTATGCAGATGTGAATTATAGTTGTTAAAAGTAGAAGACACGAAGTGGTTACAGGTGTTTGAACATAGTTGTCTTTGTAGCACTTCTCCCATGTGAACAATGCTGAGATCAGGGGAAGGGTACTAGAGAAGGTAGGTGAGTCAACTGATGAGCTTATTAACCTTAGTCGACCCAGATGGCTGTGACATATGTTGCACATGCCGAGCCACCGCCTGCCTCAACCTGTCATACTAGTGGAAGTTGGATTAGGTTGGGAGATGATTTAGAATGGCCAGACCAAGGCGTCATGAAGTCCCTCACTGCTGGTCTAAGTTTTGTAGAGAGATATCTGGTTGGGGTCCCTGAGAACAAATGAATCAGTGGTTGATGACTCTTGGTGATATGCCTGAAAGTCGCTTACAGTGGTGCAGATGTTTTCACTCCTTGACATATTCTGAAGCTTGAATGTTCACACTAACCTTTATTATCAAATTTTCTATTCTCTCATACAAATTTGTCTGCTTTGATATCACTTCTTTTCCATGCACCTGTTCTTTGTGTAATAAAGTGAAGCGTGGCTAATTAAACTTATGCACTTGTGTGCGAGGTTCTACGTTGATTTTGTCAGTCATTCAGTTTGTTGACATTGATGATGACCATGCAGTATGACTCAACAGGATGTCATCCAGCTGTTCAAGTCCTTCAGTGTACAATATGTGGTAAATTTTATTCATCTAATTTAAAACTTTAGTTCAGGATTCACAGCAGCATTAGCTTTGTTCATTTAAAACATAAAAGGGGAACTAAGAGTAAGAAAACTACCTTAGATCTATTTCGTTGGGATTTCCTCACTTGATCAAGCCGACTGTGTTGACCAGAAAGTCTGAGTCAGTCTTTGTCTTTAATATTACATCTAATTAGAAATCCCTATTCATTTTTTATTTTTCATTTCCTTGTTGATATTCATTTAAATAAGGCATAGACTTTGAAGCTGTCGGTGCAAGTACTGCTGTTAACGGCTGTTGAATTCAAGCAGATTATCCAGCACTGCTTTTGTCTAAGAAATATATTTAAATAAATACTTTTACTTTGCTTTTAAGCTGTACTAATAAACTCTATAGTTATGAATGATTTTCCTTTCTCACACATACATAAGCGAATTGTTTCCACGGTTACTACATTATAATGATTTAAAAGTAATAATTTTTGAGGGCGTTGTGGAGATTTGGAAATATTTCAAGTTGTTATTGTTCGTAGACTGACATCAGTTGGAGGAACAAAGGAAACCTGGGAGCACTGGACGGCTGTTTCGTCCTAGTGTGAGACTCCTCAGCAGTGCGCACCCACCTGATGTCAGTCTACGATGAATAACAACTTAAAAGTAATGAAACAAATCGCACCAGTAGTAACTTTTTCACTTTGATGTTTTAAGTGCATTTTCAATGCTTTTGTAAGTGATGTAAATACACTGCTGGATCCGTACATTAAATTATTTATTAATAATAGTTATTTATTGTTTCACCATTTGCGTTAACCTACCCTTGAGTAATATTACTTTATAAGACTTCTGACCATTTCATGTCCAATTCCCCACTTTTTTTGGTATTACTGTGTATCTTGGTGCTATAATGTGAGGTGTAGCAACTTGGAATGTTGCATGATACTACCATGTCCCGTGCTAACACTGACTAGTTGGGTGGCTGACGTTTTCGTACTGGAAGAAAACTTGTGCTACGAATTCTGCCTACAAAATTATTTCATTGTGTCTGTGATTGCTACTCAAGGTAAACCACATAATTATCCTTGCCACATGTTCTTCTGCTTAATCACTGGTCAGTGAGTAACATTTTATAGATATGGTAAAAATGAGCCAGAAAATATTATGTAAGAAATCATGCTAAAGCACCCTTTCGTAAGATGAGATGGTTGGATGATATTTGACATGAGCATGATACTTCCCTTGAAGGGTAGGTTGTTTTATTAGAAATGATGATGAAAAGCAGAAAATCTTATGAAAAACTAGAGTCAGGTATGACGTTGGTCTATGTTGAATCCTTTTTCTAGTTACAAGAGGAAGTCTGTAACCTGAATTTTCATCACCAATATGTTAAGTTGTGCAGAAAGAACCTTGCATCGATGGTAGATAAGCTCAAATAAGTTATAGTTGGATCTGTTGGTTGTGTACAGTTCATATTAGGATCTTTTAGTTAAATTAGATTGTAACTTTCTTCCTAAACAAAAACGTGTAGTCGACTTCAAGTAGATCGAAACACAGTAAAGTCACCCGTGCATAATTGAGTGAGGTATTTCATACTAACCACGTATTCTAATTTTCTAGATAAGTTACTGAATAAGAAAACCATCTATTCGGATGTCGATAGTACAATGTTAGGAGAACTGAGGGAAGTAAGAAATATGGACATTGGGTTCCGACCTAGTGGCTAAATGGTAACATCCTGGCCGAGGGAGCTGAAGGCCCTTGGTCCGATCCCTAGTGAGGACAGCTGTTCAACGCTCCCAGGTTCCCAATGTTTCTCGAATTGATCTCAGTAGATGGCGAATACGAAACTGAAATCGAAAAATTAATCACCACAAAACCTCCAAATTACATTGTTAGGAGTTTGTGGTAATAATCATCGCGGCCTTATATATTTTTTCATCCCGTCTAGTTACTGATATAGTTTCTGAATATTCATAACTTTGTTCTACGAGAAGAGTTAGAGTATGACTTGAGTAAAAGCAAAAGTAGTAAGCTCTAAGCGTGTTCTCATGTGATGTATATTAGATTATATATACATTTTGCTTCGAAAACCCTCCAGTGCATAATGCGGTAAAATTAAGTGATGAATACACTTTCTTTGATGCATTTTGTTGTTTTCTTTTCTATAAGCTTAATTTATGAGCAAACCTTAATACAACTAATTTTTGCAGGTATTCTTACCGAAGAAGAAGTTAGAATTATTCAAAATGTACAGCCAGTTCATGTGCAACCTTTCGTTCCTATTGTATGGGCTACATCCCTTATCGCTCTGGCTCAGAAAGAAGGATTAATTAAAAGTCAATATGTACATTCTCTACTCATCAATGTAAGTTGTTTTCCAAAAAGCTTAAATCAGTTCTTTTTTACGGATATCACTCAAAACTGTTTCAATGACACGTGTTTAGTGAAACTAACATTCCATTTCTGCTGAATCATGTGGTATTAGTTATAACTGAAGATGAAATATTTTTTGGTGTATGAAACTATTGGTAAAAAGCATTGATTCATAGTTCAGTGACTCTCCTATTGGCTATGTGATGACAAGTCTGAATGTATCGCTCCCATATTTCACCTGGATTCTATGACCATATACTATTCTAACATTCAAATCGTGTTTCATATATTGCATTTTTAAATAGCGATAAATGTAGCATATACGAATGTATTCATTTAATTGCATAAGGTTTCATCAGCTAAAGTCAACCATCAAAAATGTAATTAGTCAATCGAAATATAAAAATAATAATAGAGATATTTAGGTGTCCATCTGAAGTGTTTTTAGCAAATTGTAAATGTATTGAATACCAAAGCGATAAGAAAACATTAGTGTTAAAAACGGACCAAACTCAGTCCATTTTTAGGTCCAAAGAAGTGAATATTTTAGTATGAGTAAAAAAAAACCGGAGCAGTGCAAAAAGTGGAATTTCAGTAATGGTATTATTTAACTTTATGACAGGTTACGGTAATGATAGATAGTGGCTAGCAATGGAATTCAGGATGCTCATTTAGTCCTATTTGGAACTCGTCAGCCGGATGTACTTGCCTCCCAGTGAGTGATGTCGTTCCCACTGGGGTTCGAACTCGGGACACAGAGTTATCCACTGCACCACCAAGCCACAATAGCTATTTCTTGTGCGAGGGGTATAGTTTCAGTATTATTGCTTGTATTATACCGTCGTAGATTTGACCGAATTGGCGTATGGCCTCCTGTGCGGACACCGTGATATTACTTGTGTTTTAATTATAGTAATGATGGATAATGGCTGGCAGTGGAATCCAGGGTGCGCATTTGCATCCATTTGGTCCAATCAACAACGGTATAAAACAAGCAATCATACTATATGATGAGTTGTTTAGTTTCAAATTATAGGGAGGTTAATGAAGTGATTATTACAATAGCAACATTTGACTCGAATAAATACAAATATGAAAAAACAAAAAATTCGTGTCGGAAAATTGGTGCAATACAGATTTTACAGAAAAGTATCAGTTATTGAGGAGTATTAGCATACTAGAAAATCAACAATCATTTCTTCTTGAAAAAACATTGGACTTAGTTCATCTAGCGTCAATAAATAGATGCAGAACTGATTTTTTTGCCTTTTTATAGTTTGAAAGTCCTTGTATAGTAATATTCATATGGTGTTCTATATCAACCAAAGAGTGAGCTTTTCTTTCGATTGTGAATCAGTTTGAACTACTGAGATTTCGATTTCTTAGAACTCACTTGTAAATACTAAATGTTTTGCATTCCCCATTGTATAGTATCCATACTAATTACTGTTTAATAATTACAAAGCTGTATTTAAGCTGTTACTGTAACTTTTGAGGTTTATCTAAATTTTATTTGTCATTTATTACTGTTACCTTGTTTTTTTTTGATATTTTAAAATTGTTTGATGATTTGTTAGTCATTTTTAAAATTCTTATTAGAAATGTTGCACACATTTTACACGTAAATGCCTACTGCGAAACAAAAGTTTACATAGCTGCTGTTTGATCGATCCTTTTACACAGCATAACTGTATGGTGTTGTATCTATTTAATCAACTGTTTTTACGTTAGCTATCTCTTACATTAAAATGATGTCTGAAAAATTATGTTGTTAGAAGAAATAATTGTTTGAGAAAACTATGAATTGATTGTATTTCTATGTTGACTGGATAAAATAATCTAGATGACGCTATGAATCTTCTCCCGAATACAGGTACATTTCCTGTTGTGCTAGTTTATTTGTTTCGATGTAGACGTCCTGATAAAAGATTTTAAAAAATGCAGTCACTTGGGCCATGGTTACTCAAGCTCAGTTGTAGGTCTACGCATAGACTGAATGATAGTGGTACTGGTAACAGTGCAAACAGTACAGGCTCAAAACTTTAAGTGAAATAACTTCAAATCAGTGGTATCGGATGTCACATTCAACAATTTATTTCTTGAAACTGATACCACATTCAAGCATCTTAGTCCTAATTTTTCATTTTTCAATTTCTATTAGACACATTGAGTTGGTTCACTCTTACGTTAAGCTGGGTTTGTCGATTTTCTTAAAACGGTTGCTCTTATTGTTTTGTTTCAAAGTGTGTTTACTCTTTTTATATCCATCTTCGCGCTTGTGATGACAGGACATGTCTAGTCTGTAGGTATGTTTCACTTTCAGGTAAAGGGCTCATATGCATGAGTCACAACCTTTTCATTGGTTACCCATTTTCTGTGCTTCTATGACTGATATCACTATCCTATTGATCATCTATTAAAATCCTACCATGACCACGCTACTGTAAGCACTGGCACATATCATCGTGTGATTGTGGTTGATTGAATTAACGTCCTGACTGTTTACAGTGACTCCAAAGACCACCTTAGAAACAGCCAAATTAAACAATCAGATTTCTGTCTTACGAAAATCTGTCCTTCCAGCAGAAATATAGAAACCTAATTGGTCATTTTAGTTGTTGCCAGAGTGGCTTTTAAAATCACCCTTAAAATCACTAGACTGTTTGTAAGCTGGTCTTGGGAATTGTTTAAAACTGTTTAGAATAGCTAGATTTTTTCCATATACTAAAGGCAGTCATAATCCCTGTTCGTCTGTCGTAGGTTTGAGAATGATGGTCCCAGTTAATACAAACTCAAATCATTGTTTAGGAATGTCATCTTCATGTCTCAGTTCATTTATGACTGTATTAAATTTAAAAGTGTTCCAGTTATAATATTGTATCATTCTTTATTACGAAGAGTAGTACGATGCATCTATTAGATTGTTTCATCTGCCTACCCTTCTTATTCAAGTACCTGTATTCATCAATTGGTTTCACATTTTAGTAGTTTGTATGACCAGCTTCTCGTAGCTGAGTGTACTAGCTAATCAACAGTTTGTTTGTCGCTTAACGTATCAATTAAAGACACCTTTCTAACTCTTCAACGCTTTTGTAATACGGTTATTCGTAGTTGATGGATATGTCATATAGAATCAGAAGTTCTACTATTCTTTAGGAAAATTCTATTTCGACTGGCTTGTTGTTTCTCGTCAACTTGTAACTTGATTTGTTTTTTCTTAAGATTAACGGTACAGATTAAAATAACAATCTTAACGTATGTATCCATTTTTGGTGATCTCTTTTAACTCTTTTATCCAGTTTTAAAATTCAGTATCCAATATTTTGTGTTGTAAAGGCGTTTTCATTAAACTGTTGCAAATATATTGATTTCTCAGAAACTAAACTTCGTAATCACTAATGTTATTTTCAGTGCTATAAATGCCATTTTTTTGTAGTTAAGCATTATCATTATCCGTAATTCAACTCAGTTTACTAACAATAAGATTGCTTTAAATCAACTTGATCACCATTTTTGCCAAGACTGTAGAAATTACTACGAATCCCACTTATTTTTAGTCTGTTGTTGTTGTTGATAGCTCTTACGGCCAAAACATCTGTTAGTGTTCATATTTCAATGTTGTTCAATCTGTAAAAAAGAGTGACTACTACAAGTGTTATCGTGTGTGGGAAGTTGAAGTTACATTTTATGTTCCTTGCTTTTCTTTTTGTTTTTATATGCGTATCCCAATAAATTTAGTTGATGTGCTAAAACTGACAAAATTACTTCCATGCCTTTTGTCAGGAAATCAATAACTTTCGTCAAAGTACACTTTACATGATGTTGATGGATACAATGTGTGTTCCACTAGTTTACACTCAGGTTAGTGGTGTTAAACTTTTATTTCTGTGGATGAAAAAGTTGTAAACATTTGTTTTATTTGGAATTCTGTCTTAGTGACATATATGTCTATAATTGTCAAATCAGCTGACTGTATTCTCGAAAGACTTATCATAAGTTACCATTTATCTTTCACGCAAATCAGTCACTGACTAATGAAGAAAGTTGAAGTTTCACTAGCAAAGAAAGTATTTTTACATGCCTTAAACTTTACTCCTGATAAATTTCGGGATAATAAATTCAATTTCAGTCAGAATAATCTACTTTATATCAATAAGCACCTTTTTCTCGGCATTCTTTTCGCCTTAAGTTATTTCTAATAAATCTTTACAAAAGTGCTTTTTAAAGCTCTCCTAGCTGCTTACCTGATGCATCATTGTAAAGGTCTTTCTGATTTTCGCGTAGCTCTATCAGTCTATGAGAACCAGTCCACATCACTCATTTCAAGCTGGTTTTATGCAGATTGATCTCTTAAGAAATATCGAATACCCTGATTAACAAAATATCTAAAACTTTTGGTTATGAATAGTATTCCACTTTCATCTTGAATCTAGTTGAGAAGTGATTACCATTGAATTTGAGTAATATGGCATCAAAATCAACTTTTTGCTAGTAAATAATGAAGCGTCATCTATGTATCGCTTTTATAAGTGGAATTGAAGAGTGACTTAATGGAGTCAGTGTTCTTTATATTGGTAGTGAGAAGTCCTGCTCGAAGTAGCCTAAGTGATGCTCCAATTGTTATTTGATGCTTTATTACTAAAATTCATCATTAAATTTGTAGTGGTGCCCTTGAACAGCGATTTCGGATAGAAATACTTTTCATTTGGTTTTGCCCCCAATGGACTTAAAGTTTTAACATGATACATGCAAATTTATTTGACATTTATTTATTCTTGTTTGCCATACAGTAAATGAAATGATAAGCTGTTCCGATACAAAAATGAAGCTCACGGAGTTTCTCGATGGAAATCATCGATATTAGTTACGTTGTCATAAGTTGGTTAGCTGCATGTAAAGTTATTTTTAATGATTGGATGAAATATATAATACAGAATTGTATTAAAGCTCACCGGTATATTCAAATATGCATAAATCTCTTTATCGGTCATTCTGTTTAAACTCTCTTATGGACTTTTATATTGTGTAGGTTGTTACACTGTCTGTGTACTCCTATTTCGCCGCATCTCTTATAAGTAGCCAATTTATCATCAGAAGTTCACCTTTCGCTAAGGTGGCAGGTTCGCAGGATATTTATTTTCCCGTATTCACCGTTTTGGAACTTATCGTTTATGTTGGCTGGTTGAAAGTGAGTTTACGTTGAAATGTCATGTTTTCTATAACTGATTTCGATAAGTTTTTCCAAATGAAAGTTTATGGTTATTCATTACAACCATCACAGTTACCACGGAACAATAAAAAAATATTAAAAATAAACTATGAAATAGGTTAAAAGACTAGTCATTATATCATGATATGATGATTGCAATAAAATTCCTCCAACTTGGATTTTTAAATTTTTATTTATGATGTTTAGGTTGCTGAAACACTAGTTAATCCCATGGGTGAAGATGATGAAGACATTGATATCAACGAAATAATTGATTTTAACTGGAAAGTGAGTTGTTTATTCTCATTTCACTTTTGTACTTCTTAACAGTATAGCATTTTGTCTAAATTGGTTTTGTAAACTGACAACGTTTAAGAAAAGTGTGGCGATTTATCATTCGAAAGTTCCCACAATAAAATACAAGAAATAGGATGCAATAAGATGGGTAGGTAGTAAAAATATAAAATATGGACAATAAGTTTTAAGTAGATGAAGTTGACTGTGCCAAAATGAGAGTTTTCAAACAAATCTATAAATGCCATACAGTCCTCGGTTCATGTTCTGCTCGTTAGTACGTCTTGGTAACTTGAAGTTATTTTTAATGAAGAAAAGCCACATAGCTTTCTGCCATCGCTTATCTCTTTATGTGTCTTAATCGTTTTCCAAGACAAATTTTCAAGTCTTATGATTCAATCAACTCAATGGTTAATGATTACCATTTTTCAAATGCCTTACTATTTCGATGAACCTTCTTTCTGGCATCAAGATTGGTGGTCCAGCGGTCTTTTTCAAAAGGTAGGTTCACTTGAACTCAATCTTTTGATCTTTTTCACTCGTTTCAGCCATTCTTCAAAATAATTGAGAAAATATGCATCAAATACTGTATGCATCATCGGGAAATCAAAACTATTTATGTATCAGAACTTTAGACAACTGATGAACGTCTAATCCATTTATGTATTCTAACTGAAATACAATTAAAACAAAGAATTCGATCCAGTTAAAAAAAGTACTAGATAGTTATTTTCAGTCTTCTGATTGTGCTTTTGCTGTCGAGTGTATTTAATACATTTGGCTGTAGGTATACAAATAAGATCTATCCTATCTGTTGGAATTTCCTTTGCTATTGATAATAAAAGAACATGGTATACGTATAAGGTGATCAGACTTGATTTAACACCCCATAGCTTAGTTACTTACTTATACATACTGTGTTTACAGTTGTCGCGGTCATCAGTGCTTATAATTGTTTATTATTATTGAGACAACTTTGATTGATACTGTGCTACTGATACTTACCGGTTCATACATTGCAATGCCGTTCTTCTGTTTGGCCTAGAAGTGGAATGAATTACCATTTGAGAAGTCAATACGAGGTAAGACATGAAAGGATTTTATTTGAATGAATCTTGATAAATATTTTCCGAAGAAAAAAGAAACTTCGAGATAGAAATTTATGACTAATGGAATGAAATTGGAGAATTGAAACTGTGGGTATGTGGTCCAACAATTACTTAGACTGACTTAAGATATGCAATTCAGATTAATATTATTGTCTTGTACACAACAGGGCACAAATTTATTAAGTGACATCGAACTGTGCATCGCAAAGGTGGGTAATCTGAACTGTATAAGCTTCTAGATAGTCTGTTTGATAGTTGCTGCATATAAGAGAGTCATAAATGTTTTCATCATTTTCTCAATAGTAGGAAACGCCTGCTTTTATAGTTTTATTTTAGAGTGAACAGATGATTGTAACTATTTTTGTGTGTGTACGCAATGATTTCACAGAACAAGACTGTTATGAGAACTTGTTAACAATGGATATTGGATTTGAAACTCTATGTTGCAACTAAGAAAGCAGTTATATCAGTGCAGAAGCATTCCCTCTAAGCTTCTAAATTATTGCTGAGCACACTATTCTAAATCTGATTGTTCTCTTCTGGTTAATTTTAGAGTTGTACTTCCTTAGTGACCTACCTGTGTACTATAGGGAAGTGTAGCAACTTCGATTCATGCATTATCACGTGGTATTACGTAATACCTGGCTTATCTACCTGTATTCTCAAAAAAATAACTGATCTACATTCTGTTGCCAGTTGTCAGTACTGATACTATGTTACGAGATTAGTATTGGTTTGGCATGGTTTCGTGATCTATTGGTATCGTCATACATTACTTTAAGACATGAAATATTTTCAAGTGAATAACTTGTAAGAAGATACTGGTTTTCAATGAGATTACTGGCTTTTATATAACTCTTTATTTGTAGATAGCATGGTGCATAGTGGATGGAATGAGAACAAGTGCACCAGCTATTGTACGTGACGCTCACTGGAGACAGTCTGTTGTAGAGCTGCCACATACAGAACGATCAAGACGGTTAACGGTAGGATCAATGAAAGGATCTACGTATGATTTGAAGTGAGTTGCTTGTGATATATGAATTTCTAAGTCATATACTCAAATTAAAGATGGTGTTAGCCCGTATTAGTTTTAACTACATTTTCAAAGATATTGCATGTCGGTGAATGTAACAATAACTGCAATATATTTCTTCGCAAAATACTGCTGATGGTGACTCTCGTACTACTTTGTAAAACTGTAACCTACTACTTCATAAATTCATGGTATTATTGAGTTTTAGTGTGATAACACTTACATTTATGAGTTTCACAGTTAACAGTCTCATGTGTTATTGTAAAACTTTGATATTAAGAATCAACTCAAGTGATGTTTTCATTCATCTGCAGAGTAACCAGACAGAATAATGTTAATATCTACTTCGATCATGTAATTTAACCTGATGATCAGACTGAAGTTTTTATTCGAATTAAATTTATTTTGTAAAATGTTGAGTTCAATTTGTGAATTGGCAGGATTTTGACATTTTCGCTGGCAATCACTCATGGTAGCGTAAGCAAGCCCTTGAAGTTAACTTGCTATTAAGGTGAAATAAATTAAAAAAATAACCAATCACAACAACAGAGTATAAGTGCATCGTCTTTACGCTGAGAATTTCACTGCGGTATGCGATAACTGTTAAATTACAAAGGGTTTAAAGTTACTGAAAGTGAAGGCTAATTTTATCACTGATTCGGCCGCTTGTACGCATTTGCTTTTCTTAAGTTTCTAATGCTTAATCTCTCTAAATCTTGAGAAACTAAAAATGGATCCAAGAAAATTTTCTAAGGAAGGATTATCTCTATCTTTAACAACCTAAAATATTGATGAAAAGTTACATTTGTGAACGCAGAACATTTTTCGATTAGTTTACCTTTTTTTTCAGAAAAGGATTCAGAAATTTGCTGACATGACACGTAGCCGCTGGTCCGAATCCGCCACAGTCCAAATTTTCACTTCACCTCCAATCATTACCCAGTATGAAACATTTCATTGAAGAAACCAGTTCTGATATCTGTACTACGAACCAGTTGCGTAGATTCTAGTCGATTCTTCCAGTTCAACATAAGAATGAGTTTTAGGGTTCGAGAAGAGCAACATTTACTAATACTCTGCATTATTTATGTCATTAACTGCCAGATATCTTATTCATGAAGTATATTGATTTCTCTTTGGAAGCATTTCAGAAACCTCCATATAAACGTAAGTACTAATAAAATGTAGTGAAGAAGCAGGTATTCTGTGAGGGAGCACTTATTGTCTATATATGAGACATTTTGAAGACACACAACGATTGGAATCGATTAGCGAACAGACAAAAAAAGAAACACTTAACATGCGATTGTTGTTCTTCAACTAAACATTTTATGTAGCTTTGAAAAAATCAGTCCCTTTTATGAATTTTGATAGTGTAATTAGAAGACGAAATTTGTCTGAACAATGTGATGTATTTGCGCAGTACATTTCGAACAATCTGATCACACGTTTACTTGTCAATTTAATTTTTATTAAACTGAAAAGTGGGAGGACAATTGCTACAATTCAGATAATAGAGGATTAAAATTAAGAAAGATGGGAACAAACAGGAAGAGTGAGATAGTTGATCCTAATCTTGGTAAGAAAACAAAGTTTACCAAGATAGGTGTAGTGTAAGAACAAATTGTTTTTATACACACAAAGGTGGTTTCAATTTGTGTATGGCTGTCGCTTCCGAAAATCTCATCATATTTCCCAGACTGTCTCTATATAAAACTTTGAAGGGTGTTTGAACATTAATTTTTGACTTGTTTCTGTAATATGAAGAGGGTCATCTCTCACCTACTTTTATCAAGGTTTCATACTCCATTTGTTTTTGAAGCCACTTAAGTACATTTTCTCTGCCTTGAAGTATATGGCTGGATTACTTCTTCCTATGCATGTGACCATACACACAAGTGAATTGTTAAAGACGATGTGGCGTAATTACTGATGCAGTGTTTGGGTTTGTAAGGAATCATGTTTTTTTTCCACAATGATAAGATTAGCTAATTAATATGTTTTCTTAATGGCTGATGTTAGCCTACGTCTTAAAATGATACTATTGAACTCCCCTCTGTATGGTAGAGTGATATGGACACTTTTCTTAGGAATCATATATGAAGTTGGCTACCTGACTTCTACAATGGTTTATAAATCTCAACGGATATCCGTTTTCCAAAAGCGTTCTAGTCAATAGTTTTCACAAGGTCGTAGAGTCGATTTCATTCACCAATCCGGAATGAACACGTTGAATGTATTCTAAAGACACATCTTATTGATATATATATTATTGAATTTCAATTTAGATGTTTTTTCTAGGAATATACGATATGCTTTAAACTGAGTGAAGCGATGTGATATGATTTGGATTCAAGCGTATGATACAATTTGACAAGAAACACCAAAATAGGTGCACAGAAATCAATCCTTAAACATGTTTACTTGATTTTCTATTTCGCCACTTGCAGGCAAGAATAAGACAAAGCAGGAATAAACTAAAAGTGTTTATTATTGCTCTTCACTAATGATGATTATGGCAAAATATATTTGTTTACGTAAGATATGATTAGGTGACTTTGTGGATTAGCTCGCTCAGAGAACGAGTTTGAGGAGAGTTAGATTCACAGTTTAGTACGAACTTGTTTCCAGAAACAGTATGGCTGAAAATATTTAATTTTCTGGTATTTCCGAGATGAATTTTCAGAAGGTTATTGTATTTTGCAACACCCCTTACCTCTTAAACGAGTGGTTCTCTTTTGTTTTAAGAGGATGTTATATCTCCTTCCCTCAATCTTCAAGACTACTTGGCTTTTGTTCGAGATACTTTAGTTGAATACTTCTTTGGTCGTACTATCTCCTCGTCAGTCCTTGTTCAGACTGTTATTAAAATAAGCTTTAGTATATAATTTCAGCATATTTAAGAAGTCAAGACAAGATTTTTCTGAGTGTTTCGCTGTGTACGCCACTACTTCTTTAGCAGAATACTTCTGCGATTGTGCTCCTTTTTTACTGAAGTGTATACTTTTTTCAAAGTGGCTTTGGACACATACATTGTCTTCCTCATGCTTACTGGAAATGTCGCACATTCTTTTACACTGATCTGTTTGGTTTTTTGATCTTTAAAAACTTTAGTTAATTGGTGTGCAGGTTGATTTCATCGACAGTGTTTACTTACTTATACATTGTTTATGCTTACTCTGTTGAATAACATTATTATCACTACTTCTAGGTACTCCATTCTTAGTTCTCTTCACAGTAATAAAGTGCTACGGTGTAACACGATATTGCATTAAATGGAAACAATGATCAGAATACCACGTTAATGCAGTAAAGTTTAGACTGGAATGACGAAATTTCGTTATTCTAAGTAGTCTCAAATACTGTGTCGACAACCTTGTACACTCAATGAACCAGACCTTTTTAAGGAGTCTACCCTGTAACACAATTTAATGTCTAGTCATCAAACACCATGATAAATTCATAGTTTATTGACATATGTTACCACGGTTAGCTATAGATTTCTTATCCTTTCTATCCGGTAATTTATAGGAAATCAATACTGAGTAGCTTATAGGCATACAGTAAACATGGTACAACTAATTAAGGTGGTGACACTTCGAATTTTATCATATAATGTAGATCGATTTCTTGTCACCTTATTTCTTAGTAGTTAAATATTTTAAATGTTCTTAAAATTTTCATAGCTTATTAGTCGCTTGGTAGTGATTGTCATATAATGCATTTCTTACTATGGTGTTGTTTTTAAAACATTTAATTAATTTTTTTCATAGTATCAATTGCGAGGAAATGTATAATTCAGCTTTGTTTTCTGAGAAATAGCGGTCCAATTTCCAACATATTTTACAGTCATATGCCTTTTAAAGAAACACATTTTTTTCTGTGTGTATTCTCCTCCTATCATTCACAACCAATCATGCCTTTGTCCTTTTTTGCAGAAAGCTGGAAAAGTGAATTTATGTCAGCTTGAGAAACTCCGTTTCATAATGGACTAGATCTACTGCTTAATGATTCATTTTGCAGTTGAAGTCTATCTGCCACTACTTACCATGCTCGTCATGGGACGGTTGTACGTTCGATATGATGTCTGCGTGGTCATCATATCGAATGATCAGTTGCAAATAATTGTAAATTCCACCGTCCACGTTGACATTGCACAGCTGAATAGTTTAACTGCCCAACTCTCGTGGCAACAGGGTTTCCGCTAGAAACCATTCAACCGAGATAACAAGGTGTGACCTCTGATACGAAAGCGTTGTGAAATAACCAAAGATACTACTACTGAACAATTTCAGCAGTTAGGAAGCCCTCAGGCTGAGGTGTAGTATTCATCCAGCCAGATCAAAGTGTTACAAAAACCGGACGACCAATTCGCTCTTTTGGGGCTGAGCTCAACAGCGATGTACCCCGACAAACTCAGCTCACACAACCGAATTAGATCAGATTACATGAATCTGGCTAGCTGACTTGCATGGACCAGTACGCCTAAAGCAAAATGATCATTTCGGCTCTTTAAGCTGAGTTTGTCGGGTACACCGTTGATGGGCTTGACCCCAAATGAACGAAACGGATGTTAGTTGTTTAGATCATGATCTAACTGGGGAAATACTACAGATCAGCTTGAGGGCTTTCTAACTTCTCAGGTTGTTCAGTAGTAGTAGAA